ATACGCACTGGGTTAAGCTGGAAGTAACGTGAATTTGATAGGCATTGAAAACATTTTAAAAAGTGGGGGAATTCGGTAAATTGTCTTACAAACTAACCCTAGACATCTTGACTTAGCAAGGAAAGATTTAACTTGGAGCAAAACGCGTGGAATCTACGTATTTTGTAATGTCACTGAGAAGAGCTGTACTCTTACGGGTAATCACCGCCTTGGTGATTCTTCTACATCTGTGCAAGACGGACGCAGCAGTGTGTAAGTTTTTTTAATAAGTCTTCAACAATGGAAAGGCATGCTTGAGTTGATGAGAATCAAACATCTATATCCATGCACATGTAGGGGAGACCGGGGCTAGTTGGCCCAGTTAGAAACTTTTGGCTTTGTAGAGCCAACTGGGAATGAGTTACAGCAATAAAATGATGGATATGATGGATTATTTATAATAAGGCATTTACTTACATTATGTCAAAAGGCCATTCACGTTGGAATGATGAGAAAATGCTAGAATTATTTTCAGTTTTGTTACTTTATCTTCACAGTTAACGTATTTAAAATAAAATCATCTACAGTGTATATATTCAGTTGATCGGCTGAAGCATCTAAGACGTAAACGCAACATCGTCATTGAGACTAAAAGTCTAGATTTATAAGAATACTAAAAACGTGCTAGTTTGCAAATTATTGGATTATTTCTCCTTCATGGGACAACCTTAATCAAGAGTCATGAAGATCATTATGTATTTTTTAAAACCATTCTTTCTCATGGTGAGAAGCGCCGATATTCAATTTCAACTTCACAATATATGTGCTTTTCAGTTACGATGCTGAACGGAGAGGCTTACTTCGACGGTTCGAATCAAACCGAATTTTCAAGCGGTGAGTCAGTTTTTGATTGTCCCATCTTAACTTCCCCAGGGAGGTCCTTGTTGAATACCCCCCTCCTCCCCATCCCGGCCTCCCGCCGAAACACTTCTCCCTCCAGGACAATACCCCCTCATGATGTTCCCCTCCCGTCCCAAATTTTACATAAAATTGACTTTGTGATTGTACATGAACATGCAAATAATAAACCGGAGTAATGTCTTCCTTGTCATGGTAGACTGTAAAAGCATTACACGCGAGTTATAACGCATCTTGTTATCGCTGTTCTTCTGCAGCCTGTATACCCTCTTCATTTTTCCCTTACATGTTCAAAAGAAAACGCAGTAATTGCTCTACTTGTAGAATCTTCCAAAGACTGTTTTACAGTTTCTAGAACGTCGGGCTGCATTGGTCCTTTACTTATTTACTCTCTTACTTATGACTATTCAGATATCAAATATTGACTCATTACAACAAGGAGTACTTTTAGAAAATTAATAGACTTCGAGATTATTCCTATACCTTAATTTGTTTTATCGTCGTAATCAAAGACCACGAGGGTGGTGCGAGACACTCTGCAAGATTTATTGAATCTACATTACATGTAAACCGATCCTTTTACATGAAAATAATATTATAATTTGTATTCAAATAATGGTCTTCTTTACCTGTCTTGGTGTCAATTAATGAGATGAGTCTATGTGCTCTTAGACGAAAAATAAAGAGATGTTCATTAAAAGACTGGCCCGTTTTGCCTTAGGCCTACTTCCTCTCAAAAAGGTGGTATTTAGCGACAACAAGCCCGTTGATGTAACTTATATTGTAATTTATTATAACCAATGAACGTCTTTGATATAACTTATAATGCGCCAGCGTGTAATGACAAAATGTCTACTGATACAAGTACTTTACATTGAGGCCGTCTTCCGGGTCTTCCGGAAGACGATCTTATTTTCAAGTTTACTTTGACGGGTATCTATTTTTTTTTTTAATTTTTTTGTCTCAAGACGGTCAAAAATAGAGGATGGATCAACAAACATAATTTGGAAGATTGTCTGAAAATAGCTCTGGACCCGCCCCTGCATTATATGCATACAAGAAGATAACACTAGGTTTCCGTATTATAACACTAAACTAATAACGTTAACCATACAAACCGTTATTAAAGCAAGTTTCTCGTGTAACTTCCCCCAAGGAGTTCCAACAGGATCTCCTTGCTTCCCCTTAAAATCACTTCATGCAGATCAGATGAGGGGTAATTTCTTTTATCAGAGATTTCTTGTACAGATATTGCTAGTATAATTATATTGTTTGGCATGTCTTAAATTTATAAAATTTTTATCGCTGCAACAATTATTAAATAGTGGGTCTACAAACAGTTTGGTAGAGTATTTGCATAAGTAAACTTTCTAATACATGTAGTATTGCACCATACTGTCAACTATCGACCAAGGGATGGTCAATGCATATATGTTCGGCGGGAGATCAATTTTATGACTTAATACCTCGAACAAGAAATATTTTGCCAATTGAAAATGATAGAAAATCAATTGATCACTGTGTTGTGGACAATTTTCCCACTTTGCAACAGCATTGGTTAGACGGTTACGCTGATGGCGCACGATATAAATAGTATCGTAAATGTGTCACTTGGACCATAGAAGCGTTTTATCCTTCCAAGCTTTTTAATTCCTCACTGAAAGTGTAATTGATTGTGCCCTGCAGCAAGTCACATACACCAGTATACATAGGTGTAGGAGAAAGGTTGGGTTGGAATGGGTTGCAACCCACGTCAGGCATAGGCGCAAAAATTGGGTGGTTAAGGGGATATCATGTATCACTTACTTTACATTTGCTTCCTCCTTCTATTTGCCTGAATGTGGGACTGACACTTATTTTAAAAGAGATACTGAGATATATAAAACCAAAGCTTCCCTAATTACTGACCAGTTTTATTTGGAACAAAAGCGGGCATCCACTGGTGGTTTTATGACGAATCTACTTTTGCAGAAACTGTTTGAATTTCAATTTAATTGACCCACCCCATTCCGTGTATCGATATACATGTATTTGATAAGTAGGAAGGGGAGGTAGGCATGAGGTTAAGAAAAGAACAATATCCCTTATAGTACCTTAAAGTACTCAATTCGTTTCTTTTTTCAGCGAGCTTGGCGACATTTGGGGGCGCAGATCACACTGTTGTAGCCTGGTTCAAGACTTACGCAAGTAGCGGAAGCATCGTCGCCAAAACAGCAAGCGGTTGTAAGGAGAGAGAGAGAGAGAGAGAGAGAGAGAGAGAGAGAGAAAGAGAGAGGGAGAAACGTAGGGAAAGATGTAAAAAGAAAAAAAAGAAGCAAAACGTGGGGAAAGATGTAAAAAAAAGAGCCTGAGAAAAAAAAGGCGTTAGAAATCAATATTACTGTTTGACACTTCTTTAAATAAATAAATAAATCTACTTTTCCATAGATTTTGAAAAAAGTGTTCGGTGTAGGCCTACTTGTACTGTACTCGTCGAACTCGTTTAAATATTTAAATCCATTCGTTTGCTTTGTTTACTAATTTATTTCGATGTCTGCTAACACACAAGCTAATGAAGTAATCTGTTGATAGAAATGTATACGTGCTGCAGACGGAGCCATTGTCATACATGTAGCTAGACTTTTCAATTTTATGCGTAGTTTTCAATTCAAACTCTAATCATGATCTGAAAGTTTTGTTCTCTACGAAAAGAGGTTAAACATATTTCAGCTGTTGAAGGACCTAGTTAATGTTTTAAAATTTGCATTTATATTACAGCAAGCTGGCAAACAAGAGGAAAGTGTTTTTATATTCGAGACGGAAATCTTCAGGTTGACTCACACGGCATTGGGTACATTCGTAAGTTGAATCAAAATAAAAATGATAAAGTCACTTTTTAGCAATACATATTTTATGAAATATAACCCCCCCCCCCTTCTTCCAAACACACACACATGTAAGTTTGCAGTCCCGCACTTTGATACAAATGAGCCATTTTGTGTCGTTTCAGAGGGATCCAAGGTTGTGAATGACGGGAAATGGCACATGGCCGCCTGGCAGTTCACTGCATCCAGCAACTCGTGAGTTGGCACACAGTAACAAGATCTCTAACAACATTCAAATTTCTAGTAGATAGCCCTTAGTCTTATTGAACTATGTGATAAATTTCACTTAAAGTTTTAGAGGTAGCCTATATTGAGCAAAACATGTTTGCACGAAATACTCCATGAAACGCATCTGAGTCACGTTTTGATACACTCTCATTGCTCTATCTCGTGTTTTAGAGATGATCATTTCATCAATCTAAAACCTCTTTGTGAAAAAAATCCGTTTGAGATGATGTGATTGTGCTAGCTGTGAATGCGACAGTGAGGATGATTGTTCATGGAAGTAGGTATACACGGTTGTATTGGCAGATTGCTCTCTCGTCTCAACTACCACAATTGATATTGATTCCCCGTCGGACAAGAACATATATTTTGACCTGAAATGGCAGATGCCTGTGAAAGACCGGGTGAATGAAGCTTTTTATGTACAGACACAGATGTGTCTGTACATATAGCCATCATCTGCGTCTGTCGTCGCCGTCGTCGCCGTCGCCGTCGCCGTGCACTTTTACCGATAACACGATAAGTGGAAAACCATTTTACCTTTTGACTTGAAACTTACAGAACTGATGAATATTCATAATACGCAGGTCAAGTTCGAAAATCAGCATGATCGGGTCACTTTTAGGGAATTTATGCTGTTTTTTCACTTTTTTCAGCAT